TCGAGCCAAGGTCTTTGTATATAAAACGTCATTCATTGAAATTTCAGTTAGAGTTCGATTAAAGATTAGTTTTCAATGTAAGTTGGGCAGATAATTGTCTCTCTTTCTTCGTAATCTTGTTACATTGTGTTAATATAAATAATACTATGCCATACTATTTATTATAATTATAGTATTTATCTACACCGATGCCCTATTTGCAGCTTATAAAGGTGACTTATATAATCATATAAGCGTCTAAAAACCATCTGTTCACTTTTGGCTTCAAACTACCACGATCAGACTCTATGTCATATTCGACCACTTTCACAGTACTCATCTTTTCTCTGCCTTTGTGTCTCCCTGTTTTACATCTGTGAATCACTCTTCTGCTCCCCTCCCCTCGACATTTTTGTGATTTTGATGCTCCTCCCCTCTGTGAAGCTCGAAGTCAACTAAAGATCTAATGATAACTATCGTAAAGACTGATGGTTGATATAAATAAATAACTATGTCCACATATCTATCAATGAGAGTCATAGACATTATCCTTTTATGTACTAAAGCATCGTGCATATTCCCAACTACGCGAAGACTTAATTATTGCAATTATCACAATTGAATTAACTTTTTGTGCTTGGATTTCTCCTGTCTAGACAATGATACTTCCAACGGAGCAGAAGGGATTGTTTGATGCAAAAAACGACAGGATCACACGAGCCCTAACCAAACCCGTGATGTGCACAACTAGTTCTCAGACCTGTTGTGTTTAGGCTTTTTTACATTACACTTCCCCTATTCACCTATGTACAAACACAGCTACTGATCTTTCAATTCTATAATAATACAAATTTGTTGGAATAAGTAATATTCAATCAGCCATTTGAGAATCTGAAATCAATAGACTTAGTTTAAAGTCTGAATTTTATTTAATTAAAGTCAGCTATTTGCTGCCAACCTATATAAGACTGTCAAAGAGTTCTTACTACTTAGAGGACAATTGAGGTTTGTTACTAACGGCGATAAATAAGTATGACGAAAATAATAGTAAAGTATACGAATATTTTGTTTAGTAGTTATAAGATTCTAGCGGTTATGATATTATAAACGAACTAATCTGTTAATCTACCGTCCTTATTATCTGTGATAAACTCACCGAAATTAATGAAACGAAGACAGGTGTTTACGATCCCAATTAACTCAATTGCTTACTACCGCAACTACTCATAATCATTATTCCCCACTTCATTTATATGACCACATGCGCTGTGAAAAGAAAGGACTGATTTGATCAGTTTCCTCTTCCTCTGCAACATTACTAACCGATCTCCTCTTACTCTTTGTGAATCCCTGCCTTGATGGCTGTAGGTTAGTGGAAAGGGATGACAATGACATGATAGATGTACCGTGCGTTTTATGGCATCGTTAAAAGAATCCATTACTAGCAGAGGAAATTTTTTCCTTGTTAAATAAAAACCCTAGTAAAAGCAATCCAATTGTGGTACTAGTTTACCTTTCTCCTCAAATTTCACTAGAATTGGATTACTGTCACCTACATATAAACTGGAACTACGCATTTCACATAATAGGAAAATTTCTTCCAATCGTCTGACCTGTTATGTCGCAAGAGGAAATCATCGAAATTTGCAAATACAATGCCAAATACAATGCATCCGCATCGGAGATTAAAGGACCTCCAATAGCTCAGCTTCATATTAGAATACAACGCGCAACGACATTCAAGTTAAATTCCTATCTTTCTTACTGTCGTGGTATATGAAAAACTCTCCATATTAAACTAATAATAGCAAGGCTTAGGGTAGGTAACTATCACTCCCAGAGACAATGACTATCAACTGTAATATGCCTTAAGCATTAGTGATTGAGAGATGGGTGGTTCACCCGTGAACTTATTGTCTATTTAGAATGAGAGAAGATACGAATCCCAAAACCATAATTACGGATAAGCAATCCTTGATAGTCTTATTCTAACGCTAGGAAGTGTCTTTTAAGCCTATAAAGCTCGCTTAATCATTATGTTTTGTCTCATCACTTTAGATTTGTCATTGTTTGATTGGACATTTTAAGCATTCCTTCAGATCACTCACCCCCCTCTCTCTCACACACATAAACAATTTCTCCCTTCTCTCTTCCTAATCATATAAATAGCATAAAATGGAAGAAATTTTCTTATGAAAATCCCCAGTGTCTGGATTAATGAGTGAGTACGTTCCTTCTCTCTCTCTCTCTCTCTCTCCCTCTCTGCTCTGTTCTGCTCTGCTCTTTGACATTTGACAACAATGGGCTTAAAATAGACAGTTCTCGCACAAGTGGGGTACCTTTAAATAACTCTGACAGTTGTTGGATTCTGCCATCCAAAAGTTACTACAATAGCGTTATTGCCAACGGAATCTTAAGTACAAGAAGTTAGCTTTATTTATAGTGTTGCAAACCCATAAAATATGATCACACGTTAATACCGAAAGCTAAACTAGATAAGAAAGTGGTTAATTGGCAGCAAGAGCTTAATGAATAAAACTTGTTATTAAAATTTGTAATAGCATCCTTTCTACATGATACGAAATCTTTTTTTACCACAGCTATTTTGGCGAGGAAATGGGGGAGTGGCATTGAGGTGTCAATCGAAGTATTTGTGACGATCTCTCAAATTCATCAGAATTTCCCTCAAATCCATTAGTTATAACCTAAAGACCCCCCCCCCCTTTATCTACTAAAAGTATGGGAAGCGTTTCCACGAAATGAACTTACTTTTGTACCTTAATTGAATTGACCCCTTCTAACTTGGAGTATAATGGAGCTGATAATTTGGCGGCCTCTAAAGATGGGCTGGAAGCATCTTAGAAGTTATGGTTAGCGCAGGAAGTGCCAGATGTTCTGCTCACACCAATCAGGACAGAACTAACTGGATAGATCGGAAGGTAACTAAATTACTGAATGGTAAATATTACCCAGTTTGGATGATTTCCACATTTGCATTTCAGTTTAAGTGGAATGTACTGGAATTCTGGAGCTGACCCAGGTTGCCAAATTGTTCCCTTGGCTTGACGACCTAGGAAATCTGTCTTTTCTCAATCATACCCTTTACTTGCTGAGGGTCTCCATTAAAATGGCAAACAGTTTTAATCGTGCGATAATAATCAATATGACTAAGATTGTGATCAAAGATAAGAACTTAGAAAAGAAGAACACAATGATGAGGTTTATCCTCCAATTATAGCTGGCCTTTGTGAAACCAAGATGTCAGGGAGGCATTCCAGAGGCATGACTTCATTCGGTCCATCCAAACTACAAAACATTTGGCCCAGTGACGAGTTAAAAGATAGGATAGTTGCGTTAATATGGGTAGACTCAAGCAAGTGTGCGTTCGATAAAATGCAAAGCCTAAAAAAATTAATGCAAACATTAGACATCACTGCATGCTCAAGTAAGGAAATTGGCACTCGCCTTCTCGTTGCCCAGTGGTCTTTTATTTCTTTTTCTCCTTGTACGTTTAAAATGGGCTTGACGAACGAATATTCACTTTGAAAATAGAAGCCATTAGGTCGGATATTCGGGAATACGATTTTTTACACTGTAAACACCTTTATCCATCCACAACACAGGAGACCGAAGGGAATAAAAGTTACTGCTGTTTGACCAATGCCCACGTGAGGCATAAAAACAGAATCACCCATTCCTATTTGATTATAACCAAGTAGAGCGCTAATACGAATCTATCAAACACCCTCTCGCTTTCGTATCTTACTACTAGTATCCTTTCATCGCTGTTGCAAGCCTAGCAGCGACACCTATTTAATATTAGCTGAAAGCCAAGCCCTAACCAGATGGATAAACAATTAGAGGAAGCATCTGATATATTATATTTATATATTATACAGATATTATATTTATACAGATACTTTTGACACACTGGAACGGGACTAAGCAATGTTGAGTTACCACGCCCATACCTGGGCATGCAATCACGTTCCCAAAACAATTACTAGCACCATATACATTCGATCAAAACATGGCCTCATTTTGCAAAAAAAAGTGAACAGCTACTTTTAGCAACGCATTTATTCACTACAGGGTCAAAGTAATTTTATCTTTATAACGGAGACCCCTGTGACTTCCAGTCTGCTCTAGGTATATGCAAACGCTTAGAACTAGGACCAGTGTCTACTCCAAACAATTACCAAAGAATTTGGCAGTAGGAGTCAAGGACACGTAATGTCCCCCCCCCCCGCCCTCCAGTACTTCCAATAGCAACTAGCAAGCAAGCAATAAGGAGAAGCATATTCCTGTTGCAGTAATAGTTGTGTAAGATAGCAAAAATAATTGTCCAAGGGGGGGGGGGGCAAAGGAGTAAATGGCGAAACAGGGAGTTGGGAGAGAGAGAGGTGGGGTCAAATCGAAGTGGATGAAGATAGGATAAGTGGGGAGGGCGGGGGGGGGGGATATTCATGAATTAGGTGAAGTGAGATGCAAAACCACAGACGCTCAAATTTGGCCATTTAGTTCTATAACACTTTCTCTAAAGTGTGAAAGGTTGAGAGTTACTGTGCGAGAAATAACCATAACAGGGAAAAAGGAGAAAGACACAGCCAACAATAGGAGAAGAAAGTCAAGGAATGGAGAAACGGTCAGAAACGCATGAGAGCTGATGCAAAATGCTGCAGTGAGATTTGAGCAAATTTTTAAGTTTTCTTGTGTGAAAGGGAGGTGTGATATAAGTAGGATGTATTAGCAGAATTCTTCGTCGTCGTCCCTATCCATAATATATATATGCGCAACTGAGAGAATGAAAGCTCTGGTCAATGATGTTGACTGGTGGTGGAGGTGGTGGAACGACGGTATAGTGATAATAATAAAAACTTGTGAGTGGTTAGGGAGAGGAGATGTGGTTGTGAATGTCTCTATACAGGAAGGAAGAGGGAGGGGACAAAGTGATTACACAGACACACCCACAGAAGACAATCTGGAATGCTTAACAGCGAAAACAGTGAAGAGGGATGAAATCAACCAACAGAGGGTGCTGTGCCTGCCGTTGTAGCAGGACAGGCTCGAACATGCCTCTGCTGATGGTGGTTGGAAGGTCTGGACACTCGCCTGTCACAACTGGAACAGCCATCGAAAGCCTTGTAAGTATAGTTGATAAACGCCAGGTCCTTCTTGTAAGACTTTTTGGGATCCGTTACATTTGCTAAGGTGATCAAGGGAGGAAAGATTAGTATTTTAAGTCAGAAAATGAAATTAGATTAATTAAACAATAGACCACACCTTCCATTGTGACATTTCTGTTAAGGAATTCTAATAGAGCAGGCTTAAAGTCTCTAGTCTAACAGTTTAATTACTTATATCGACTAACTTACGCCATGTTAGATCCTCATCAGAGAATTCATCAAAGTTGCTCGTGTCATCAATAGAACGAATCTGGACGGGAATTGCCGCCGGACGCTCACGAATATTGTTCCAATCAACATTGGTAAAGAATGGATGGTTGCGGAACTGTTCCAATCCTCCTTTGGAGCCCAAACGGTGCTCAGCGTCTGTGCATAGGGAGGTTATGAGATCGTGTGCTTCTTTTGAGATGGGGGTATCTGGAGGGAAGGTTAAGGTTTCACGCCAAGACATCACATTCTGATAGGTCTCGTGTGCTGTGGATGCACAAAATGGTGGGAAACCTGCCAAGGATAATGAAATGCAGGATAAGTACTGAACTGGTCTATTATTTGATTCGTGCATATAGTTCGAAATACAAGAGATTCGTACAAATGTTCTCGTTATCAGAATCCCTGTTGCATTGATAATTGGCGAAAACCTTTTCTCGGATGCGTTTTTAGTATTACCGTTATGAAGTAAATTGTGCTGTCAAATCAGGAATGTGAAGAATGCATTACATTAGCTCTTGTAGTGTATACAAAGCACATTCGTGCATAAACATAAAAAGACCAGGTCCCATACAGAGTTAACCTGTGACAACCTAAGTATGACTAAGCAGACAGAAAATGTATCACGAAACTGTCAGTTTTAAACAATTTCCTGTCAAACAAAGAAGAAAAGCTAGACGCGTGTCCCAAATGGAATATTTGAAGAGAGAGGTAAGAGCTTAATTGATAGAGCTCTTAAAATTTAGTGAAAAACTAACCCATCCAAGTGAAAAGTCGGAAACGAAAACCGTCTGAGTACACCCATCGACTGTCGATGCGATGAATTTCGAACTCACTTGCAAAGGATGATAAGAATTGCAGAAATTTGGAAGAGCTTGGCTACCGCTAGGGAAATGAAATGATTACCAAAGAAAACAGCACCTAAAGATAATGAAATTCCTCATCTATTATGCATTTATCTTAGCCGAAATTGTCAATCATCGCATCAATACAAACATTAGAAATGCTACTCTTCAAAGGAATTGCCTTCTAAACAAGAAAAATAGGGAAAAGCTAGTTTTTTCCAATCTCATTAGAGAATGAGACACACTAAACAAGAAAGCATCTTATATACACGTAAAAACATCATGCTTCAAAATAGTGCAGGCATATAGAAGAGGGATGGAAGTGAGCTTACCCATGAGCATTTCATACATGATGACCCCGAGAGACCACCAATCACAGGAGCACTCGTAGCCCTTCTGATGAAAGACCTCTGGTGCAATATAATCCGGCGTTCCCACTGTTGAGTAGGCCTATAAGGGAACAAGAGAACAAGATGCTCATTATTGTATATAAATAGAGTGCGTTCAGATGATGTAATGTAAACAGGATGCTCTAATCTTAACGAAAGGCCTCAGAATGATTATAGCAAAAGAACTGAATGCAATTGTACAGTGTCATTTATCAACAATTCATTCAGTTATTGCAATGGTTCGTGCCGATCAAAACAAGCCACTCAATTGGAAGCATTACAATGTATCAATTCCACATCCGAAGCGCTAGGACATAGGACTCACAATCAGCATGAAGGATAATAAACAACTAGCTCTAATGCTTATCTTCTTTTGGGGAGAAATCTACTTTTTTCTGAAAGAATTATAGTAAATAGATACAAAATTGCTATCCTGTGAAATCATAATAGTAATTAAAAATGTAGAGCGTTATGCAAAGAACCGTTGCGTTGTGCTTATACGCGCAGATTAAGTAACTAGATAGGTGTAATGAAACGGATTTTGAAACTTGAAGTGGAACGCCCACTGGAAAGGAATCATGCAAACATGCTCAGATAGAGAAGTAGTGGGCAGCATATGCACCCGCAAAGTCATCCTTAGCGTAAGTTAAGCGCTTCCCACTAAAGCTACAAAAGCTCAGATACATAAGAAAGAACGCTTGTACCGAAGCGCACTTTCATTTCTTTTTAGTAGAATTATTAATTAACCTTCTGGAAAGCCATTAATAAAGCAGTGAGTAGAATTCGCTTGCAGAGACCAAAGAATACCGACCTCCCAAGAACTGCTACCTTTGCAGGCATGAACTCACCCAAAAATAACTCAGAAATCAAACCAGAAAAGTGGACTTTGGTAGAGTTGAGCATTACAGAGATGAGTATTAGGCTCAGAAGTGGATAACTCAATGCACTTTCAATTAAGACTGTTGACATCGCGGCCACATTGTATACGACTATCTGGCCACTAACTAATTAAGATATAGCAAAGTAGAACACATTTAGGAAGATAAATGCATTTTAGGTATCTTTAAGTTAGTTAGCGTTTATTGGGAGAGAAATTAGGTCACCAAGCAAAAAGTACATTTTTTAATTTTAAAAAGTCGAAACACATCGGTGGGAAAAAACCCAGCAGCAAGAGAAAAATATGAAAATCAAAAATAAGATTAGAAGAAAAAGCAAAAAAGGCATGTGACGTTAAAATTGCGTGTTCTTTTCACTAGTGTATGCCACTTTGTTGAACCAAATGGGAAGCCAAATACCGCGAGTATGAGAAAATTAGGGTTCTTTTCAATTCAATTATACGCATGCCCTATTCATTTATGCTATTGTATCAAAACAGGCAAGTGACATACAAAGAACTGGATGCAGTATTTTAAAACTAAATACATTCAATAGTCTTAATTGTAAATGTTGGAAAAACTTATATAGACTAGCGAATAATTAGTGGTAGGCTAAATAAACACAATTATATAAAGAGAAAAATCGATTAATTGATCCTTAGCAAAGAAGGGAAAACGAAAAGCTTGAATTTGGTCACCTCGCTGCGCTTCAAATTTGATCAAGAAACGGCTTATTCTCCTGCACCAAGTGAATTTATCAAGATCCCATTTTTTTATTCAAAGATGGCAGATAAAGAACAACATTCAGAACACCGAATGAAAGAGAAAATTTTCAAGCAGATATTAGACAAACAGAAAAAAATGTCAACGAGTAAATGATCTATCAGGTCATGACTCGATAGAATCGTGAATTCCACTTCACCTAAACTTGATAACATTCCCTTTTTCATGCTCAAATGTAACGTTATTTTGACGGTAAGTTTCCTAATCCTTTCAGAAACTATGAAACTGTCAATCTAAAATAATAAATAGCATTTAACCAACCCATAGAAGTTCGAGGTGAGGATAAACCGATTCAAACTTACTCAAAAGGTGGAGTCCGTTAGCTCTTCTCATTTCATTTTAAGCAGAAAAATAATATGTAGCGAAGGGAGCTAGTAGAAAAAGGGGGTACGAAGAAAAGCGGCCCCAAACTCCGACTATTTAAGAGGAAACGTCAGCAAGTGTATTTAAACGCCTAAGAGGGAAATTAGTTTGTCCCTCTCAGTTTGTCGGAATTAATGGCCTGAAGAGGAACAACTAAGGCAAAAGACAGGGGGGACAATATGGCAAAAGGAGTAAGACAATGTCACGTGATCAACTGTTAACCACCTAACATTCAAGAAAGTGCGAAATTCACGTGACTACCAATGTGTCTTACGATATGCAAGCGAGGAAAACTCGTAAGCGAACAAGGAGCAAAGATGTATGCGCTCGTTAGCTAGATCTTAAGTACGCACGCACCCTATTTCAAGGTCGTACATTTAGACACGCACATTTGGTGCAATAACGACGTGTGACATGTGTTTGCGTTGAATTTTAGTGTATGAATGACTCACCAAAGTACGTCGATACTTTTTCCAGCTCTCTGCTCGTCGACGGGAGTCCATGAGATTGTAAGCTGGAAGAAAAGAAGAGAAAGGGACCAGGTTAGTTTAACTGAATAGATAGTCGTGGGAAAAAAACACTAAACAACCTTGAAAGAGCCAGTAAAATTTGCTTATGCTCAACATGGAGGAGAAAAAAGAAAAGGCAAATGATACCTCTATGCAAAGAGGTTATATGATTCCCAATGAAGACATTTGAAAGCGGCTTAGATTCACTGAAAACCTCAAATGTCCCCACTTCAGGACATGAAACGAGATTTGACCTAAAGCTTATTATAAATGCAACATTCCAATGCGCAGAAATAAAATTTCAGGAAGAAATTAACGAAGATTGCATAAGAGATCTCATGAATATAGAACTCATCGAAAATTCTAGACTCCTTTAAAATAAGGAAAATTGGTATGAATTTTCATAATGTATCAGATCAGTTTTATTTCGTACTGAGAACAAAGATAGCTAATAATAAACATTTGCAAATCCCTACTGAGTAGAACTAAACTAAAAAAATGAATTAGTTAGCATACAACCAACTGGAAAACTTAATTTATTCAAATGGATGCAAAGATTAGCCTTAACTCCTTTCCATAGAAATATATGACGCTGGTAATTTTTATAAAGGCCAATGTAAGGTGGAAGTGTGTAAAGAAAATACGTCGATCTTCCTATGGAAAACTATCCACAACAGTAGTCCTTAAAGTAGGAGACCCTCAATATGAAAAGTCAGAGGATGTTTTAAGACCGAGCCTCTTCTCGTTTAGGATTAAATTAAAAATAATTAGGGAAATATAGTAGAAAGTTTTGACGAAAACAGGAAGCTTAAGTATCATGCCGTCTATTAAAAAGCGTTCCAACTCCACTTCTCTTTTTTCTCTAATCTGCTATGGTTAATCATTCATTCACTAAAAATTCGCACACAAAGACAGACCCCTCAATGAATCATTTTATCCGCTTGGTTCCTCGACAGAAGAAGCAAATGCACCAATTCGAAATGTAACCAACAATGAGAGATAAGAAGTGGGCCATTTTTCGACCGGCACCACACACTCGATTGCGCCAAGAACAAGGCTAATGAGAGCAAATTACTCACCAAAATCACTCGGCACTGCTTGTGATAGATCCTTGTAGAATTCCGTTCGATGTGCCTTTTTCAGACCTGTGCAAAGACCGAAATCACTGAGTTTCAAGTGACCCTGAAATTGTACAGATGAAAAATGATTAAAACATGATTGCTGAGGGCACATCTACTTCGTAATGGTTAAGACTTTTAGAATCTCAATACATTTTCCCACGAATTTTAAGAAACGACCTCCAACGTACCTTTGAATCAAGAAGTAGGTTATCTGGTTTAATATCACGATGAATGAAGCCCATTTTGTGAATGGAATCAATGGCAAGCACTGTCTCTGCCACGTAGAATTGAGTTTGGGATTCTGTTAGGGTATCCAATTTCATCAATAACGTCATCATATCTCCTAAAGCATATAAATAATAGAATATCTAAGTCACGACTCATTCAAATCGACAATGGCAACATTAGGATGTGTTCCTCAGCTCCAAAGGAAGCATTACATATCGTTATAAATATCGTCCTGATTCCGCAAAATAAATGTAAGTTGGCGGATTAATCGAAAAAAAGCGTTTTCCTTTACCGCGAACATGCAAAAAACATCTCTTAAACAACTCACAAAAGTCTTATTTCGTTATGTATTGTTAACACAAGGAAATTCACTACTATTTACCTTTCAATCTATTAAAATTAAACAGGTTACGACGATTGGAAAAAAAATAGTGTATTAATAATAAGTCAAATGCGCAGAACGTTGTGCCATAATTTCGTGGTGACGGTAATGAAAAGGTTAAGGCGATCAACCACTACTGCGTCGATCAAAAGATGTCGCAAAACAAGTCCGATTTGACCTAAAATAGCGAAGTTACCTAAGCGGCACAGTAGCACGTCACCTAGACTAAAACCGACTATTTTAGGGCGGAGTGAAAAGATATTTTTAGAATTTGTCCAACGACTACGACGAAGCAGAAAGGAGCATTGACAATTAAGGGCCATAACACATTAAAATGACTAAGAAGTCGTTCTTTTTCAGGCTAAGATTATAGTTAAAATACGTTGGGTTAATAAACTCCTACGCAGCCAATCCTGCCTTGGAGAAATGTGAGAGACCACACACAAATCAAATGAACTGATGTATTTTCTTTCGATTTCAAATATGTTGGAGCTGGTTCTTGAAAACGCATGTTTACAAACAAACTGACACCCATGGAAAGCTAGGCTTCAGGTGCACTAAGCATCAGGATATATATATATATATATCAAGCAGAGGTCATGAGAATAGAGATAAGGCACTATTTAGCCAAAACTTTAAACATCATGACTGTTAGCTCCTAACTTCATTGTGGTCGTCCAGCAGATATGACGCAGAACATCAATTAGCGTGATATTATTACGAATGTTTTGAGCAGAACTAGATAATTGTAATAATCACAATAACATGCCTCCTGGAAGGAACTCCATAACAAGATAGAGGTTGACGGAATCTTGGAATGAATAGAACATCTTCACTACCCAAGGATTGTTTGCTTTCACGAGGATATCACGTTCTGCTCGTACGTGGGCAATCTAAAATGAAGTAACAATGTAAAGTATCTCAGCCAAGTGAAATAGGTGCTGGTATTTGCAAGTAGCAACCTACTTGGTCCTTCTGACGCATGTCAGCCTTTCGAAGAATCTTCATCGCATAGATGTATCCATTATCCTGTTTCTGAACTAATCGCACCTAAAATCACACGTACAAAAGAAGGGTGTAAGAAAGAAGCAACAATCATTTCTCTAAATGTCATCACATTTGATGCTAGATAACGAACACACAATCAAAAAAATCGTGGGAAATTCACACTATACATGCAGCTAATATGTAACAATATTGAAGAAATTTATGAAATTTATGAAAACACCAACTATAGCCTAACTGCATAAGGAGCCATATTCGAAATCTTTAAAAAACAGCATGATTGAGAGGGAAATCCGGGTTCGGTCTGTAATCTCGAACTCAAAATCATGGGAGAGAGATAATAACCATGGCTTTATGACATATGAGAAGAAACTAGGTCAAAAGGTGAGATCAATAATGCGTCAATAAGCGGTCCCAGGAGTGCATTATAGTTCCAGAAGAAGACTAGAAAGTGAATAAGGGATAGAAGACCAACTTGCCAGTAGGACAGAAGATTGTATATTCTCCAGAGATAATCCATGCTTGCACCTCTGCTGAACTCTATTTACTTAAAGTCCGACGATCTTTGTGAACTACCACAGCTAGAAAAGTACGCATTAAGCAAAAGCAAACCAAAGTTCAAATAAAGGCAGCGAAAACGAGGCAGAGATAGAGTACAGATTAAGTTTCATCGAGTAGGTAGTAAGCGTGAACCGAGTAGATATCGAATTTGCACACTAGAGGCGCACTGTTCTCTCACACAAAAAGGCTCAGCAAACAAACTGAATTGCACGCGCACACAATTAAAAGGGAAAAAATATAAAAGAATGATACAGCACACTCACTTCTCCAAAAGCACCCTTTCCAATAACTTTCAGAGGAGTAAAATCATCCACAGTTAATCGCGCCCTTTTTAACCGAAGGTATTCGCTTTCCTTGAGGGCATGTTGACTACGCTTATGTTGTTTCTATAAAAAAAAAGATGAGTATGAACGTCGTTATGCTTATTTAAAATAAAACATTTGAAATAAGAAAAAACAAACCTGATCTTCTGTCAATCCCTCAGATTCCATCAAAGACTCAAGGATCTTATAGCGTTTCTGTCGTTCCTGTGATTGAGTCGCGAGGTTATTGTAGAAATTTTCAAGGGTAACTTTAGCTATTTTTACACTGTCCAGAGTTCGAGAGCTAATGGCTATTTCTCTAACCGGATGAGATGGGGGAAGTTGGTTGGAAATTGAGGGAGGAAGAGCTCCATGTGGAAGGATTGAAGTTGATGCGGAACGCCCGTTATCTTTCCCAATAGATCCTGTCTCATTTGAGGTCATGCTGACCGATAGGCGGTCGCGTAAATGCCGTTTTAATCTAAAATTATATAGATAATTAACAACCATTGGCAGTAACAAAGATAAAAGGCTGTACGTGAGAGTTAAACTCGGAATAAAGACACTAAGGTTGCATATTGGTTAAAAGCAGAAAGGGAATACTAAAGTAAAGATAAAAGTCATAGTCATTTAAAAAACAGGAATATAAAAACGGAAGGAATTAAAGCAAACTGGATCATTAGTGTGAACCAGAAACCAAGGCATTTGTTAATATATGGCTTAATTAATGAAGGCAGAAATGAAGACAAACGTCAATAATATGTTAACATATGAAAATAATAAAATATTCATAAAGGTAGCTTAAACACTCCTGGTCACCTCATACTTACATTATGAAATACAGAGACAATGGGAACTGGTGCGTGAATCTGGAAACGACAGCTAATAGCCAATAGTAGGAGTTTCCCTTCGAATATCTGAAGGCGGCTCATAAATTATGCTTAGTGGTTGGCTAAAACAGAATTATGTTGTTTTTGAGAACAATATGTTATATTTTGGATTAAATTAAATAAAAGAAAATAAATAGTTTAATTTACAACAACGTAATGCTTGTTTAGTTAATCAAATGTGTGATTGGTTTTAAATAAAGGATTTAAATATGTTACAAACTGCTCTGATATCCGCCAAAAATATTAATTTTATCGATAGATAAGTACAAAACCTATATGTAGGCAGAGTAAACCGATAACGTCTACATAAATTCGCCACTCATCATATCCCTTTATGGACCTCATATATTTAACACGACAAATCTCAATACGATTATCTGACATATGGAAGTACTTTGCTAGGTTTTATAAACATCTATCCAATTTTTTGAATTCATGTCTAAGAATAAAATTCTTTAATTTTCTGATGAAATTTTAAATAGAAAATCCTAAAAGAGTTACCTCATGGAAAATAAATTTGTCGCCTTTATTGAAAGTAATTCATTTTATTGGCAGAAAGGAACCTTCTTCAGGGTATTTGCCATCAGTAAAAATACTATTTACAATAGATATTGAACTTTATTACGAACATTAAATTTCAATTTCCTTATCAGCAATAACAAGGAAAATCTTAAGTCATCGTTACACAATAGATGATCAATGTTAATGGTAAATCATTTCTAAATGACTGAAAAATTAGTCAATTTTGAACCAAGGCATTTTCTGATACAAGACTATGGTAGCACTGACGCAAAATATAGTGAGAATTTGTTTGAATATTTAGACGCTTAATACACTTTACGCACAGCAGTATAGTGGGTTCACTTTGCATTACTTAGGTCCAAATTAAAAGTGCATTCCTCCACTCAAAATTTGGCGTTTACAGTGAATATGTAAACTGCTACAAATTTAGAAATTATTACACAGAGCTATGTCATTATTGATTAAATATACGACTATAATACTTGACATAATTATGTGATATGATGTTCAGTTCATCCGGTTTTTAAAGGACTATTTTCATTGATATTACTCGCAGACCGTAATTAAAATAGATTAAGCAACTTATGCTGGAAAGAATCTTAAAGAAAAGTGACATCTTTCAATTTCTCCTATCGCCTATTCTTTCTTTCAAATTTTAGCAAACACGCTGTCTAACTTAATTAACATCTAAATACAAAATTATGAATTTAAAACTATAAAAATGTATTTATAATTTATTAAGATAGTGATCTATTCTTTAAAGCGAAAATTTAAAATGATAAACATTTTATCGTATTAGTTTTATTTTACTACTGAATGAATTTACGCGTCCTTATGAGGTTACGCGGCTTTGCCACATATTGCAGATTGTAATGGTTGACGTGTTTAATCGCCGTGAAGAGCTTTTGGGAAAGTTAGAGGATGTTGCTGATAGAGTACGAATTTTATTTTGGCGTTTTAATTTATGCCGTATTAATTCATTGCCTCTATTTTAAAATGATATTCAGTTATTTCTGACTTATTGAATGGTTTATTATCTCAGATTTATAATCAGTTAGGTGGCAATTTTAGTGTCACCATTTATTTATTTTTTCGGGATGAAGTCTATGTTTTCTCGTTTTTTACTTATTCAGTAGGCTTTGTGGCTGTTGACATATTTTGGGATTCGGTACATCTCTATGTTCACAATTTTTCTATGTTTTTAGGTTGTCAGACGCAGTCGGCACTATCTTCCCCATATCGCCCGTTTATGTCTTGTTTCGACTTTTTTAGAAGATGGCTTTCGCTTACTCACACAGTGGTCTGAACAAATTGATTTCATTCGTCACGTTTGGGGAGTGGGCAAATTTATATCCGCGATTTTTATTCTCGCTAACATTTTCCTTCAATTTTCCGGTTCCGCCTCCGTCATGTTACGTTATAAAGTTCGAGCAGGTTGTGCGATTCTTATGTTAACTGTGGTGATACAGACCATTGGCTACAATATTTTAACTCGCATCTTCCTTATGCGAAATCTTTCACTTGTTGGAAGTCTCCTTTTGCTCCTTGCTGAAGCTAACCAAGACTCTAAAAGCCTTCTTGCTGGATTACCCTCGGTTGGGAATGAAAACCGATCCAAACAGTATCTGCAACTTGGTGGTCGGATCCTTGTTGTATTGATGTTCCTTACTCTAATTCACTGGAGTGGAAGTTTCTTCTATCTCATCCAAGTAATTTAAATTTCTTATATTGGAATAATTTGTTTTTTTCTTGTTCTTTATGTGTTTTTTCTTTAATTTCAGTCAATTCTCAACCTAGTTCTCATTCTCCTCGTCGCTGTAGGCTATAAGACAAAACTCTGTGCTATCATCTTAGTCACTTGGTTGACATGCATGAATTTCTACTACAATAACTTCTGGTCAAATTACACTGATGAGATTATGTGGGACTTCTTGAAGTATGATTTCTTCCAAACTTGGTCTGTGATTGGTGGTCTCATGTTGATTGTTGCCCATGGTCCTGGCGGAGTGTCGGTTGATGATTATAAGAAGGAGTGGTAATCTTCTCTTCCGGTCTCTGTCCTTTTTTTGTAAATGAGTGGCGTGCTTTCTCATGCTAGTCTCTTCCCGCTATCTTAATCCTTTCATCTCTCGCTCCCTATTGGCACAATCAGAATGTATCCTCTTATTTGGAGCCTTCTTTTAGACAACTCTTCTACCTACCACCCTCCCCCCCCCCGGCTAAATTAATGTTCGCCCTTCTGTGAAATACAACCATCCGTTATATACGTATCTCAATGTGTGCATTGATATGTGCGTGTTTATTTGCCTTGCAGATAGAAAATATGAGCTATTTCAACTGAGATGCTTCCTTTTTTATTCTATTAAATATATTTTTACGTCATTTAGGGACGTTTGTGTTTGAACTTTCAAAAGAGTTGAACTATTAACGAGTTAATCACAACACTACACTAGGTTATCAAAGCTGCACTTGACTCATCTTTGTAACTAGGGCTACGTAATTGGAATCGGATGTTTACACGCTTTCAAGCTTGTTTTAAGTAACGGTCTTGCTGTTTTAGCTCATTAATTAGCGAAATTTAGATGATTAAATGACCTTTTCTTGCACAAATAACCAATGACCAGGATAATATTGAGTAAACTGATAAAATAGAAATTATGTTACTAATTTTATCGACTTAACGATATCTTTTTTATTATTAAGTTAACCTTTCCAACTTTTAGCAAATGCTATTTTTTATTTGTCAGGTCAGACATTAAGTGCCAAATTTGGTGATTTAGATGATTTCACCAAGTGCCGTAGTTGCCTGCTCTGTTAGGTGGCAGGAGAGCAGACAAATGCTAATACTGATTTTTATCGATGCTTATTGGGGATTGAGATGACTTCGTGTGGGCTAGTCCTCTGCACTTAAATGCGATTTAATGTCAAATTTTGGGTGTGCCATTACATTGTATACTTAACCTTAGTTTGCTCCTAATTTCGTCTTTCTAAACTGTGTCATCCTCTTAATACAGGACGGTTTTTCTCTTGTGTGTCAGGATGAGCGAGTCACTTTGGCTGGTACTATTTCCCTATTTCGTCTTGCACAGTGTGATGATCGTCATAACCGAGGGATCAACTTATCTCTCAGGAGATAAAATTAAAAATAGACTTCTAATCGGACGTACCTTCACGCTGTTCCCTCCTTTTAAGATGAGTCGAGTAGAAATTACCATGAAAATTTTAAATTCATTTAAAATCAGAAATTGTGCTTTCTTGGAATTAGTTTCCTTTTTAAAAAAAACTAATAAGGAGTTTATGGGATTTAACCGTGTTTCGTTCTTACTTTTAATTCAGAAAAAAACACTATTACTGCAAAAATATTTTTTATTTATATCAGATGGCAGGCTTTATGATAGTTACTATTCGCCCTTTAATTGACTTCAGGCTTCACAGAGGGAGAGGAACATCAAATCGAAAAAAGTCGAGAGGGGGGG